ACAAGCAGTACGTATTTCGATCGGTCTGTCTACTGCTGATATGCTGTCATTACTCAAAGAATCAATGCGGTACTCTAGACAACAAGTACATCTCAAGGACGATCGCATTAGACATTTCAAAGACCTTTGAAAAGGTGAAGCATAGAGGGTTACTGCACAAGCTTTCTAGCTATGGAATCACCGGAAGAGTCTTCTTAACTATCAAGTCCTCCAGAACGGTTAAGTCTCTGAAGATAGTTATTAACGATTAGTCCTCTGAGGCCCAAGCTATCGAAGCAGGCGTCTCCAACTCTCTACGTTACATAAATGACCAACCTAAAAGTATACTTATATCTTTTGGGAATATCTATGCTGATGATACATTGGTATATAGGTGTGCGTCCAAAGCTCTAGATGACCAGAGTTTGGAGGCTGATGTTTTTTTCTGACCTACCTCTAACAGTTCAGTGGGGGATAAAACTGACTGGGCACATCTAATACCTCAAAATCCTAACAACATGCAATGATAACCGAGCGGACCCTGATTTTTCGGCTATCGAGATGAACGAGTGTTCTCCCAGGGGGATACCGTGACTTTAGCGCCTATTGGGACATAAGCTCAATCAAGACCTTAAGTGGAACTAGTACATACGACCCATCGCTAGTGAGAAAATAGTCGGTTCCTTGTAGCGCTTGAGTAACTACCTTACTCTTCCTGTTGTCCTCTGCAGTTTACAAGAGAAAATAGAATCCTGCTGCCATATATGGGATAGAGCTGGCCAGTCGTTACTTTCCGGTCTCGATAGAGTCCCAAATCGTTCCACTCTACAAGCCCTTTCCTTAAGTATGTTCGGAAGCCCACAAGTCTTGTACTGAAACGAAGAATATTGATAAAACCAGAAGCTTTTATTATCCACTGAAGATCGCTTCAGATTAGCAGCAGCCGCTGCTATGGGAAGTGTGAGCGCGACAACCCTTGTAGCGGTAGTTGAAGCCTCGTTTTGACACATATGACATTTCCCACAGACGAAACGCTGTAAGCCTCTCGCTACTCTATCAGTATTTCCATGAAAAATGTTCAGGCGAACTACATTTCTTAAACTCACCACTTCTAACATTCACAGCTAAGACCTGCTATACAGTGCACATTCTCTTTGCATTTCATTGGTGAAATCTAGGTTCCAGTCCAGCAGCTTTTTTTCTACAAGCCGCTGCTTTCTGTAATTGACTCCCAAGAGGATGCTTATAGGACCACTCTAATCTTAAGTTGTGCTTCTCACTCTGTAAATCTGTACCTCGTGTGATTCTTGGACATTGTACAGCAGGGTGAATATTATTGTTAAAAAAAATAAAAAATAAAATAAAAACATCCAATTTAATCATATTTCTTGTTTAAAATTCGAAACGTCAGTGTAAGGGAGGTAATACTATACGTCTCAGGGGAGACTACTAGAGAAAGTTTTATTGTTATTACCTCCCTTAAATATCTTATAGTAATTTAGCAAAATCAAGTTTTAAGATGGGAAAAGTTGAAAAAGAAAAAAAAAAAAAAAAGGAAGAAAACAGAAAACAGCAAGATACAAAAAAAAAAAAAAAAAATTAATGAAATATATTGGAAAGAACGAAAACGATTTCTGTTTTCCTGGATATTGATTTCGTTGTTTACTTTTCCATATAAATGAATTTAATTTAAACAAAACGTTTTTGTAAGCCTATAAATAGGCAGTGACATTCTCTGTCATACTCTTTCTCTTATTTCACCCAGGAATGGCAAGATGTAGCTCGGATGAGGAAAACGCTTTCTCTCTGGGGAACGCACACGCGCGTGCGCACCTCTCACTTCATCTTTTCTAGCGTTTTTTCTTGCACCAAACCACACACACACACACACACACACACACACACACACACACACACACACACACACACACACACACAATTCACTCGTTTAAATGTTTTCTTCAGACGTATTCATTGTTCTGTAACACGCAATAATATCCTATTGTCTATATATACCTTTGTTTTGTTAATACATAATTGTCGTTTGTTTATATATGTGTGCGTGTGTGTTTGTGTGCGTGTGTGTAGCGTTGTCATTACCTCATTACCCGAGCTCATATACCGAGTCTGTTATTTTTGTTGTTGGTATAATATACCAAGAGACACGTGTTTTCCGAGTTAAACACTCGACCAGCACCCCCGCAACATTATATCTATATATAGGATCAAAATATGCTTTTATTAGTAGTACACTTATCGTCAGATGCTGATTGAAAATTGACCGTTGTAAAATTTAAACATTGACATTATATCGTACTGTTATGTTAATGGAGCAGTCCATTTATTTTATTTTTAATCAATTCCCCCAAAGCAGAGCCATAATGTTAATAAGACGCCAAAGGTTACTGGGGGTGCGAGAGAATTGAAAGACTTTAGAAGAAGGAACCGGATACCCAATCTTAAATAGGAAACAAAAGATACAATTCTATTCTTGTTCAAAAGACCTGGGAGGAGTGTGAACCGGACGAATGGCGAACATATCTATTCCTATTGAAATCAAACATATATAACGATTTGTTTAGATGTTGAATGACATTGACCTTTAAAGGAAGGAATAAATTAAAACACTCATTGTTTGGAAATACTGGTTACAAGTCGTCTTTTGGACAAGAATTTTCGTTTTTGATTTTTATCATACATCGTTTTAACCGATCTGATCTTCAGTCTTCCCGTTAGGTGTATGTTGCATCCGGCGGTCTTTGCTATCTGAGAAGAGCCGATAGTAACGTCAAATAAAATGTCATAAAAACAACAAAACAGTTGATATTCGTCCAACACTGATTGAAATAGTGAAAATAATTAATTTCATAGATGAAAAAAAAAAAAAAGGATAGAATGTTGGTCTGTCAGAATTCTGTTTCATCAAATTTAATTATATATATTTGCAAAGAACCTGCTACCCATTTAAAAACCGGATATCTTAGTAAATTCACATAAAGAAATTCTATTTTTCTCGGTAAATATACACTTTCGATAACTTTCATTTTATGGCTCTGAGCATGAGTGCTTTTTGTATAACATTTACATTTGTTAGGTGCGGTCATATGATAGTAACGACGACAACGTGCAAGAAGAAGTAGTAGTAGTAGTAGTAGTAGTAGAAGAAGAAGAAGAAGAAGAAGAAGAAGAAGAAGAAGAAGAAGAAGAAGAACAACAACAACAACAACAACAACACGGATAATGGAGTTGGAAAGAAGAACATTGGTGATGTGATGAAGAAGTAGAAGGAGATGTTGAAAAAGAAAGAAGAGTGGTGATATGAACAAGAAGAGGAGGAATGGTGTTGACAAGAAGCAGAAGCGTGATGATGTGATGAAGAAGAAAAAGAAGATTGGTGATGTGAACAAGATGAAGAGTGGTACAGTGAAGAAGAAGAAGATGATGATGATGATGATGATGAGTGGTATATAATGAAGAAAAAGAAGAAGCAAACAAGTCAAAGAAAAAAAGGATGTAGAAGGAATAAAACATGGATGAATAAATTAAAAGAATCTATATGAACAGGAAGAAATCAATTAAAAAAATGAACACAGAAAACCGTAAATAAAGACTTATGAAAAAAAAAAAAAAAAATACAAAAATAAGCTGAAAAGAAAAAAAAATAGTTGAATCATATGAATGTAAACAAATGGGTGATTTAAATCACGAACATAAAGAAGAGATAATGAAAAGATACGAGAGGAAAATAGCCGAAATAAAAAAGAAATAAAAAAGAAAGACCTGGGGAAGAAAAAGGTTAAGTAATTCAAATCAATAGTGCATAACGAAGTCTCGATATCGCGTTACTATAGTCCACTGAAAGGAAGAAAAAAAAAGAAAAAGAGACAGTGACTAATGGAGTAGGAAGGAGAGGGGGAGGTGGCTTGAAAATAAGAAAAGTACAGTACAAGAAGAAAAAAAAAAGAAAAAAAAGAATTGCTGAAATGCTTTTCTATCGTTGAAAGGCGGTTACGTAGTCTATAGGCGGGAAGTGTAGACAAAGCGAGGTGTGACTCACTTGTTTGACAATGAAAACATCAAATGATTAAGACCTATACGCCCGTATCGACATCTTGAAAGACGTAAACGACCACACATACTCTTATGTGTACTCTTGTAACATGGAGAAACAAAAAAATGCAAGTACAAATACAATCCAGTGGGGAATACAGAAATATATATTTATGTGTACGTATAATATATATATATACTTAACGAGGACGGGGGTCTTAGCAAAGGACTGCTGAGAGCCGCATAAAATAGAAAGTTGTGGAGAGCCATGATCGCCTATGTCCTAAAGGGACGCGATTCATAGACAAGATTAAAATAAATATTATTAGTTAAAAATTACTTTTTCCGTTTTTAAAGTGCCTTTTGGTGTGTTTGGACGGTGACGTTTGGATGGTTTTGTTAAGAGGCATATCAACATCCCTATGTGTTATTTAATGCCGAAATCTAAATATTTTGAACAGAGTTTTATGCCTTTAACTACAGGTAAAGTGTATTGCTGATTATATATTGTCGGTCTTTTCATATAAAAAATGCATTGCTGGTATTTTTATTATTAAAATGTATTTATATACTTTCATAGTGCTTTCATTTGGAGTGGTCATTATTTGTCAAAACTGGTACCCTAACAGGTACTATCACCCCCAGATCATTGTGGACCTGGGAACAACAGCAATTAAGAAATGGTTCCAGGGTCCCCCAAACCTTTCGATCAGAAGCCTTGTTGCCGGATGTAGTTTATCGTCATGCCCAGTACTTCTGGCGTTTGAACGCATTTGAAAGCTAGGAAAATAATGTTGATTACATTCAAAAGGAGAACGCTTGAAAAAATCTAACCTTATTGAAAAATAAAAACATTAAATCTTTTAATCAATAAAAAACTCTAATGTAGCATTTAGTTCATTTGGTAATTAAAGGGAAAGTCCACTCAAGTACTCCACAGCATCCGCGTTTTCAAACCTAACAATAGTTTCATGTGCTTTTCTATCTGCATCTGTACTTTTTTTAGTGTCTGTGCTGGTTCATACCTAGCTTGTGAACCTTCATAATAAGCATTTCTACCTTTCTGTACTTAATGCAGGCCATCTATTTACTTTCCATAAGGGCATGAACCATTTATTTTTCAATATGATTACAGATTTAAAACTTTTTAAAGTTCTACCTTTGATTGATGATGAAACAATCAACATTTATTTCCTATCGTCCAAACGTCTGTATGAATAAGCGGAAAAAACCATATTTTAAATCAATTAATTTATAATATATATATATATATATATATATATATATATATATATATATAGAGAGAGAGAGAGAGAGAGAGAGATCAGGTCATCCCATAAGTTCTGTCCGAATTTTGAATAAAGAAAACAAATGACCAAATGTTACATTTAATTACAGATTACATCAACAATGTATTTTCCCTGATTATCTATGACTTCCTTCCATCTATTAACAAGCTTACTAATTCCATTACTGTAAAATTCTTTTGGCTTTGATTCGAAGAATTCACAAATGTCAGTTTTAACCTCTTCCTGTGTTACAAAAGCTGTTTCTTCCAAATGATTCTGTAAGCTACGAAACAAATTGTAGTCTGAAGGAGCAAGATCGGCAGAATAAATTGATGAGGAATTTTCTCCCAACGTTATTCGATCTTTTGTGATTTCTTGCTGTGGGGGTCGAGCATTCTCCTGATGAAACATCACCCCTTTTCGATTCACTAGAGCAGGTCTTTTTTCCTCAAAGCTTGGTTCAAACGCTCTAATTGCTGACAGTATATTTGAGCATTAATTGTTGCATTAGGTGGTAAGAATTCAAAGTGGCTTATTCCTTGGCGATCCCACCAGATTGAAAGAAGAACCTTTTGCCCATGACGTTCCCTTCTCGGGTGTGGCTGGGGTCCTTCCTCTTTACCAAGTCACTGTCTATGATGCTTAACATATCGATAAAAGATCCATTTTTCGTCGTCAGTCACAAGTCTATCCAAAAAAGGTGAAACAAGTTGGCGAGAATGGAGAGAAGAGCAGATGTCAACTCGGGATTTGAGGTTGTTTTCAGACAATTCATGAGGTACCAATTTTCCAAGTTTAGCAACTTTTCCAAGTTGTTGAAGATGACGATGAACAGTTGTATGGTTGGAACTGAGAACCACTGCCAATTCCTCAACTGATAAAGCACGATTTTCTTCAAGGGCTGCTTCAAAAAGCTTTTCGTCAAACTCATCTGAACGTCCGGTTCTATTTTCATCTTCAAGGGTGAAATCTCCACCTCTGAATTTTGCAAACCATCTTCTGCAAGTTCTTTCATTCACAAATTCCTCTCCATAAACTGAGTGAATGTTTCTAGCCACTTCGCCTGCTGAGTTTCCTTTCTTGAACTCATAAAGCATTATGTGCCTCAAATGATTCTTGGGTATCTCCATGTTAGCAGGGTTTTAATCAAACAAAATTTAATTTTATTGTTCTCTGAAATAAAATTTGATCAGTTTAAATGCATCTAAACATAAAAATAATGTTCAGCTCCATTAGACATTATAAAATACTCTTTAAATTTCGATCATTTTAAAAAAAAGTTAAAATTCCGACAGAACTTATGGGATGACCTGATATATGATAAAAATATAGTTTTAAGATATGCTATATTTATGGGTAAAAGTGCTCAATATCAGAACTAGAGCATATGCCCTGTAGATTGCGTTTAAGCATGATCAAACTGTTTCCACTCGGTGTTTACAACAGTTTCTACTTATCTATCTATCTATCTATCTATCTATCTATCTATCTATCTATCTATCTATCTATCTATCATCACCCACAGAGAAACTGTTTCGCTGTATCACAGCTCATCAGTGTGGCTAGATATCCGATTGCTTCAAGCCGGGATCGAAACACGACCGATTTGGTTCTAGACTCAAGCTGTCACTGCACAGCAGAGCGGAAGGGAGATTTTAACGTTTTTAGTATGCGAAAGACGTCAGTAGCTAGGAGATATCGATTCGAGTAGAAGAGCATTGCATTAACAGCAACAATATGATATGATATGAGATAACGGTATATAGTTTTATATATCCAGAACAGTATTGAGGAAGTTGTAGACAAAATGGAAAAAAAGTTTATTTATAGTTTTGCTGTTACATCCAGTATATATATATATATATATATATATATATATATATATATATATATATATATATATACTGGGTGTTACAGCAAATTGTCCAATTGTTAGATTAATTCATCTTAGAAATGATTAAAGATATCTAACTGGAATTCTCCGAGGTTTTTATAACATTATTTAACTCTTTTTGAGCTATAAGAATGTATAATCACTCTACAAGCTTAACAGAAAGATTGTGATGAAATTGATTATAAACAAAAATAAAATGTTCATCATTAATTAATCGTAGCTAAGGATCGGAAGATCATGAAATATTGAAATAATGTTCAAAGATATATATATATATATATATATATATATATATATATATATATATAATTGCATGATTCTTTTTCAGCTTATTCAAGATGATCCTCGTCCTCTCTAGCCTTCTAACTTTCTGTGCTGGAGTAACAAGTGCCTCACACGTTTCACGTACGATTTAATTTTCATGTCTTTTTCTACTGCTTTTTGAGCTGTCATAGCTGAAACTCGTCTCTCATGAGCCAAACCTATTATGTATTGAGTTCTATCTTTTCTAATTGATCTCTTTAGCTCTAGATTGAAATAATGATCCCTCTTCCTGTTGTGACCTACTGATCCCGGTATCCTCTCTACTGTTCCCTCTTTTTAAAACTTATTCACCGTTCTCTTCAATGTTCTTGAATGCACTTTGAATATATAAACTAGAATATGAATTACACGATTTGAACTAGGTTATTACCGTTTTACTGTTGAACTAGCTAAATACAACCGCCACTTCTATTCTAATGGTTTCATTTGCCGCGCTTTTCGTCTGTGGAACTTTATTTCGATTTCTTGCTTCACTGCCGCCTAGAATCTAAAAAAATTAAATGCATTGTCATTCACCTTCTTCTGTCTTCCTGTTTCTTTATTGTCCTTTACTCACTTCTTACTAAAGTATTCTTTTTTACTTTCTGTAATCCATTGTTTCCTAGTGGCATTATCGTCTTAGTTTGGGTGAAATGATTAAAAAAATTAAATTTCAAAATTAATTTAAACTAAATTTAGATTTTGAGACACCTTTGGTCATTTGTTTTGATTTTTTAACAGAAATGCTGTCATTTAGTTTTTTTTTATTTTATTTACTGCTTTAATATAAGCGTCCTATCCTCACAAAAAGTTTGATAACAGAATAAAAATTACAACTTTATAAGGATGCTTTTCGATAGTCCTCTTATGAAATCTAACTAAAACTTTCCAGAGACATTGTTTGATATCCAGAAAAATTAATTCAATTTTTTCTAAATCATTTCACACCAAACAAAGCTGGAATGCCATTCATACGAAGGTGGGTACAGAGTGAAAGTGAAAGTAAAAGTGAAAGCGAAGACTGAGAATAGTGAAGATTGAGGAAATGATAAAAGACGAAGGGGATTCAAGAAGACTGAAGATGGTGATTGACGCTGCGTTTAAACTGTTGAAGGTTGTAGTTATCAGAGAAGCAAGTAAACGGAATGGTGTTCCTCAGGGGGAATGTGCGAGAAAATAAACTGTAGGCGTAGAAGTGGTACCTGCTTTTAGCTAGTTCAACAGTAAAAGGGTTGGACTTAGATGCCAATCTAGTAGGACGCTTAAATTCATGTAGTCAAGGCACAAGGCAAAAAAAAAAAAGCTCATCAGAGCAGTTGCCATAAAAATATTTGTCCATAAGACAGAAGGAAGCCATGTCATGTCGGTGAGAAAGTAAATAAAGTCGAGATTCCTGGTGAGGATCGATAACATTACAGGTTCTTCTTTGGATTTTGTTAAGAATCTCGAGATGGATTTTGAGAAGAATCTCGAGGAGCACCAGAGCAGTTATTTTGGCAAATTGTGACAAAATGTACGCTGATTTATCAGTTAGAAAGCATTAAGTTTTTTTGAGGTTAACTTTCAAAATGTAACTATTATACATCAAAGTTGCATAAGGATGCGCTCGTAGCTTAGCGGTTATCGGTACTGAAATTGTAATCAGCGTGCCGAGTTCGAATTTCGGCCGAGCTCCCCCGCGCACAAATACCCTCAGTAAATGTATTGACCTATCTCTTCCTCTCCCGATCAGTTATGTTTTATCTAACCAAACAGACTTTAGTCACTCAACTCTTCAAGGTTTTCTTCCCTCTGCGGTGGTCAAGTATTTAATTCCAAACTGTTTGGGTCAAGTCACTTTTTGGATTACTCAACCAACGTTTTTATTCACTGGGCCATGTGTCCTTGACGACTGGGTAGTGTGTTCTATTTTCGACGGGTGCCACATAATCCTGGCTGTCTGTTAAAACTAAGGGTAGTTTAGTAAATAGTGACATGAAAGTCACATTGATTTTATTGTGACTTTATTATCGATGACTACGACGCTTTTCCTTGTCTTCTTTTATGTAGTGTGTCACTTCAAGAAGTCTCCGAGCATGACTCTTCACGATTTCCTATTCTTTGTACTTCTAAGCAATGTTTGCTCTTTACTATTCCACCAAATCCCTGTTCTGATATCTATTTACACAACCTAATTAAGTAAGTTTCTTGCTGTCTTCCTCTGCTCTTCTTGCTTTCGTGCCCGGTAGCAAGGGCTCTGATCGGGAGACTTGGAGGTTTTGAGAAGCGTGGAACCACCTCTTAATTGCCGTTATTCCCATGTAAACCTGGCCCCAAGGTGATAACATACATTAAGAAACCAGCTATGAGCAAATAGTGAAACCCCGAACAAAAACAAAACGCTATGTAAGCATAAGTATACCAGCAATACATTTTTATATAAAAAATTACCAACACTACAATTTTAAAGCAAAATGACCAGTAATAAATGTTATAGTAAAATTACCAACAATAATTTTTATCTGTAGTTGAAGGCATAAAATCGTATTTAACATTTTCGGTATTAAATAACCCATAGAGATTGATATGCCGCTAAACAAAATCAACTAACCAACTCACCTTGCTTTCATTATGTCAGGTGAATATTAAATTCGTCAAGATTTCTTTCCTTATTGCGTACTTTAGAAATTTCATCTGTCTCTTTCTGATTATAAGTGTCTTTTGTTTCCATTTTCCTTAAAACTTTCTCGTTGCTGACTTGTTCGGTCTGCATCCTTTTGCAGAAACACATTTATGTTGCCTTTAGTTTTATCTGTGAGGAAACTGTCCAGCATTCACTGTCATATTGAAGGATTGCTATTACATAGCAGTACAGCAATCTTTGTTGTTGTTGTTACTAAAGAATTTTTCCAGTTTTTAAAACTTTCGCTATTCCAATGCGACTTCGGATTTCTGTGTCATGTTGTCCGAGTATACGACCTAAACGACTTCGGGAAATAAATATACTCCTGTAATCACCGCGTTTATACTGTTATTTTTTTTTCCAATTCAATTTTTAGATTTAGATAGTTCTTACAGTCGTTTATTACAGTTTGTTTGTTTTATGAAGGAATATATATTTTTCATGTATTTGCCTCTTTCCAACGAGTGTCTACAGGTTACCTTGCTGGGGATTCGGTCACAAATCTCCAATAACTTACTTGGTGTTTTCTCCGACTACAGCACTACCATGGTCTAAACAGTATAAGTTTTTCTTCCATTTTTGTCTTTATTGTTTCAGGGAGGATTTCAAGTGCACCACTTATAAGGAATTCGTCCTTCATATACGACATCTTTTTTCGTTCTCGAGCGAAGTCCTGAAATAATACTATTTTTCATTTTTTTATATCCACTATTATTATTATTATTATTATTATGGTTTCGTTACATTCACTTTATGTGCAAATAAACTTAGAAAAGTTATGAATTCCTCTCTTCCTCCCAGCTATGGGTTAAATAGTAGAACAAGTTTGTGGAAAAAATCATTGTTATCGCACCCAAATATTGATAATGCAATATTCGCTCGCAACAGATAAACTTATTTTTAGAATCCCAATATATATATATATATTTGGGTTTTAAATAACCCACAAATAGTTGATAATCCTTTAATACAAATCAATCAATTAATCAGTCTCCTTTGTTCTTCTTGAGTGAGAGAGCAGTACAGCAACACACCAATGCTGGTGTACAAATATTCGAAGCCCAATTATTAAGATTAATAAACGTCTCGATATATGGCCATGATTCCTCCCCAATACTAACCGTACATGAACCGAGATGAACAGTACGTCAGCCACTTGGGGACACGCCCAATTAATTACGGTTAAGCAACTGACTCAGGTCTTGACCTTATATTTACCGCAGCTCAGCCTTAATTTCCCAAGACATGTACATGTAAACAGTTAAGATGAGAAACCATGAGAGTCATGCTTGATGTAAAATCAGGACATTTATTATTATTTGTGTATGTTATGTTTCCTGTAGAGCAATGTCTAAACTATGGTCATTAGGTCCTATAGGAGAATTGTCATTTAACTGATAGCACTTTTCTTTGTATATGGTATGTTTCTCGCAGGGCGATCTTTTGGGCAACCTGTATGCCTATGTTACCTGGGACATTGTTATTAAAATTTTACATCGCATTTCTCACGAGGTCCAGAGCTCCGATTACTATTGGTGTAGTCTCAGTCTTCAGTGTTAACAGCCATCGCCTGAATTTCTCTATCAAGCTTTAGATAAGAACGGCTAAACTAGGGCTGTGGCTCTAGATATCTCAAAGTTGTTCGACCGGGTTTGGTATGCTGGCCACATGTTCAAGGGCTACGATGTCAGGGGACGAATATCTGGTTTAATCCAATCGTTCTTAACAAATCGTGTAATGAATGACGTGTTGAACAGGCACACTTCCATATAGTTTCATACTAATGCCGAGGGCCCTCAGGATTCTATCTTTCATCAACGACCTCGATGTCATCAGTTCTCAAGTAGGTATTTATGCAGATGACACAATTATTTACTCTTGACAGATCCGATAAAGTAAACCTATCAACTGCTCTCGAAAAGGACCCCTAATTAGTGGTTAATGGCTTGTAAATTTTAATGCCTCCAAATCAAAACTAACCTCATTTAATCTCCACAGAGGACATTTCTGCCTGCCATCAGCATGGCTGATGCTAAATTTCAGGACAGCAACACTCTATGCCTTCTGGGAGTCACATTTTCAACTTACATGAAGTGGAGAAATTATATTGAATCAATTGCTAGGTTTAGTGCTGGGATAATTGGTTCGCTTTGCCGTTCCCAATATTTTTTCTCGTTAGAATCCATCTTACACGTTTAAAAATATACTATTCAATACTATATACTGTTGCCATATGTGGTCTGTTTCCCCTGCTGAATATACCGGGATTCCTGACAAAATTCAAAGAAGAGTCTATAAGGTAATCGATCCGTACCTGGCCTCTTGACTTCAGATAAATTCTCACCGACATGACGCGGCTTCCTTCTGTCTTTTCTACAAATATTTTCATGGAAACTGTTTCGAGGAGCCTTTTTTCTCTAATGCTTCAACTACATTAATTTAGGCGTGCTACTAGATTGGCAATTAGGCCCCACCGTTTTACTGTTGAACTAGCTAGATGCAACCTACTACTACGATTCTAATAGTTTCTTTTCTCGCACATCTGACCGGTGGAACCCCCTTCTGATTTCTTGCTTCCCTGGCCCTTACACTATTTAAACATTTAAATACAACGTCAGTCACCATTTTCTCTCTTTTCAAACTTTGTTCTTGTATTGTCCTTTCCTCACTCAGCCTCAGTAAAATTCTTTTTCACTCCTTGTAACTACTTGAGACCTAGTGGCATTATCGACTTGCTTTTTGAAAGGCTTAAAAAATTTCAGCTTGTCTCTGTTCCAGTTCCTTAGTCTGAAGTCGGACGACCGGCTGGCCGGCTGACCGGCTGATCGGTTGAACTCTCTGCCCTCGGGCAGAGTTTCTTTCGGGGAGGTAAACCGACCCTGAACCCGTTTATACGGGTTCAAAGGGCATATTTTTGGTCGAGCCCACCGGCTCGGAGATCCCACGTTAAAAAGGCCTTGTGCCACATGATGCCCTCGTGGGGGGGGCTGACTAAATACTGTTCAGTCTGAAGTCGGACGACCGGCTGATCGGTTGAACTCTCTGCGTTCGGGCGGGGAGGAATCCGAAAGAGGCTACGCCGAAGGGCGGAGTTTCTTTCGGGGAAGTAAACCGACCCTAAACCCGTTTATACGGGTTCAAAGGGCATATTTTTGGCCGAGTCCACGGGCTCGGAGATCCCACGGGCTCGGAGATCCCACGGGCTCGGAGATCCCACGGGCTCGGAGATCCCACGTTAAACCGGCCTTGTGACACATGATTCCCTCGTGGGGAAGTGTGTCTAAATACCGTTCCTTAGTTAACGCGTGCGTACTTTATGCCTTGCCAATACGTCATAAGTAATGGCCTATTCCGTTTTGATCGCGTAGAAAGACGGAAAAGATAAATCAGAGACGCTACTTCGTTTCAGTGAGAAATAAAAGAAAGAATAAAAAAATGCCTTGCCAATACCTAAAAAAGAAAGGACTGTTCTGATTTGATCGCGAGGAAAGACGGAAAAGACATATCAGAGACGCTGTTTCATTTCCGTTAAAGAAAGGAAGGAAGGAAAGAAGGAAGGAAGATTAAATTTTCACCGGTACTAATAGTTGTTGTTGTTATTATTATCATTATTATTATTATTAACGACAACAAGGACGACCCTGAACCAGCAGTATTAAAAAGTGATCAGAATTTTTAAAATTCTATTCCCATCTATTCTATTCTATACTCGATCTCTTAAATTGCCAAAAAAGAAAAAAAAATAGCTTTAAGTCACATAGAATGAGTACAAAGATGTGAAAACCTATTTTTTTTTTAATTTAGAATTGTGGGGAAGAGCGTCATGAGACCTTGTTGTACATATTTCAACGCTCTAACCATAGAGTAATTACAGAAACCGGTCCCAGCCGTCATAACTCTAGTTATAGTAGTAGTAACAGTAATAATAGTAGTGGTACAAGCATTTATTGTTCAGTTGGGTGTCGAAGTAGTTTATGAAATAAGGTAAGAACAAACAAAAACAAGCGCCCATGACTATTCGGAAAATGCCGTACTGGGATTTAACATTTTATAACCGACTCTGTACACACACATATATATAAAATTAATAGCAGTACGCCTCCTCAAACATACGATCAATACAGGGGAGACAGGCAAGCACATAAAAAAAAAACAAATAAAATGTAATGTTCACATACATACACGCTCACACCTAACCGTGTTTTACGGAGATATGTTCATATATTGTACACCTTACCGTCATAGCCCATTATATTATATATATATATATATATATATATATATATATATATATATATATATAGAATAGAATGAGAGAGAGAGAGAGAGAGAGAGAGAGAGAGAGAGAGAGAGAAAGAAATGCAGCATAAAAGTAAAGGCCGGTATATACACAATGAAATAAACCATGCGATCATTTCTTCCTCTATTTCCTTATCTGTCTTGCTTCATAGCTTTTCTCTCTCTTCTCCTTTCTCTCTTCCCCCCTTACTTTCTTAATTTATCTGTGAAAACATAAACAGACGCCTGAAAGTTGAGTAATAAGTGAGGCGATGTCGGGTGCCTATGGTGTTGAACTTGTTCACTTACGAACAATACACAATACCCATCCGAACCCCACACACCGCTACAACTCTTTTCTCTCTCTCCCCCCATATATATATATATATATATATATATATATATATATATATATATATATATATATATATATATATATATATATTTGAAATTAGTGTACACATTAACACATGTGCAGAGCTATAAGCACTGACGGTCAGGCGGGTCGTTTTACTTGTTGTTCTAATAGACGAACGGAGAAGTTTTGTTCCGATTGGGAAAAATCCTGTCATTTAGATGGAAAAAACTTAATTTGGCGATTTTCAAAAAAAAAAGGTAATGAACTGTCGACCTCATATATATATATATATATATATATATATATATATATATATATATATATATATATATATATATATATATATATATATATATATATATATATGATATTATATATATAAGATATTATCTAGTAATGTACACACACACACACACATATATATATGCATATATATATATATATATATATTATCTTAATGTAATTTTGTTTTTGCATGTCATTTTGCTATTCGAGGTCTTGAAACATTTCCAGCAAAATTTCCAAGTATGCTTATTAAGATTTTTTTCTTGTCTATTTTTTTTAACGTCTTTATTCTCAAAATTTAAATAATGTCTGTATTTATTTATATTCTAGAAATAAGTTTTAAAATGATAATCGCACTTTTCATACTTCCAGCGCGCACACATATATATATATATATATATATATATATATATATATATATATATATATATATATATATAATAGGTAAATAAATCTATGTTTAATTTTTAAGAGATGTCAATATTTTTTTTTTCAGAAAATATTGTAAAAACACTGAAGCTTATACATTTATTGAAACAATTCTTATTTATTCCACATTACTTCAACCAAAAAGTTATGAAGGAAAACTTCATCAGGCCTGAATAAGAGCAATAACAATAACGAGGCACAAAAAAACTATTTGCCCGAAAAGTTTGTTTTAAAAGAAATATTTTATAAATTTCAGCCGTCGGTAGCACTGGCTGGTCGGTCAATGAATGCCGAATGTTTCCTTATAAGGAAACGGCTAACGTTATTATTACCACATTCTAAAAACGCATTTACAATCACTTCTGAAAATGAAATTATCCCTGAACATCATCATGTTGATATCGTTCATAGCGTTTTTCGAACCATTTGAAATAACTAGGCAGTGCCCATCTCCTCTCCCGCTAACTGTATAGTCCCAGCAGCAGTGGGAGGGGGGTAATCTTTGACCTGACCTAATAGGAGAAATAGTTTTATACTTTTTAAAAGGACATTCTTTCAAAGAGAATCGACATTAGCTGAGCCAGAATTAGAAACTATCTGTGGTTAACCTTCCAACACTTCACCTCTTTATTATCATTTGCATATGCTAAGATTTACGTGTCTAAATCTGAAGAATAGACATTCTGTTTTTGAAGCATTTAAAGACCTGCAAGAATTAAAAATATCGTTCAGTCCACTTCTTTCTTTAGTTCTGACTTTTTTTGATTGTTTCTTTCTTTTTCGCACTTGTTCCCGTATCAGTCTATTGATTCGGTTTTTGCGGCTTATCAACCCTTTGCAGGTTATTTAAAGCCAATAATATTTCTTTAGATCGTAATATAGTTTTATTTTTAAAGATAATTATGGTTTTGGTGATACAAGTCTTACTAATTAACTCATAGCTGGGTGGGGGAAGAAGTGCTACCTTGCCGGTATGTGAATAAAACGAACCCAATAGGAATTGAAACTTGGCTCACCGATTAAGAATTCCGAGCCATTATCCATTACCCCACCTGCACATCTAAGCTTACAGCACCTGGTATAACCAAACGATCGCTCGTCTAGGTACTGACTTATCTTCGGTGATCGTACGGGAACCTGGCTTTCAACATGATGCGGCCGTAAGCCTTATAAGTTTAAATCTACGAGATTGTGTATCTTTATATGTAAATAGCTTTCTACTTATATGTATAAAGCAGGCAAAACAATACATGCACATACACATTTGGACATAAAAAATATTTATTTATAACCGATAATTATTAGTATTAATTAAAATAAATGTGCCAACACTTGAAATTATATACGATTGGAAATTCAACAGCTCTTATTAGCATATATATATAAGTGTACATATAAGTTTACATCGATATATAACATTTCTCTATAAGAATATATTAGTATCATAAGAATCTGAAAAGTAGCTTATTATGAAATTTGTTTTGTTTTTGCTCTTGCAGGTCCTTGTTCTAAGCCGAAAAATGGCGTCTGCTACGGTGAACTGCTCTCCCAAGACATTCTCTCCTCGAGTCTTAATACATCAAAGAGATTACAATGGTCTTACAAACATGTGCAAACGAGGAACAGCTGGCATGGTACTATCGAGAAAATCCATTACGGCGCTGCCCCTACGTACCGGTCTCGATACAGGCTCAGTAACCGAAACAGAACCAGTGAACTTCGAACTAAGAAACTCGGAATCCAGCCGAAAGAAAACAACACGTGACAAGATGAAAACAGACAGAGAAGCACTAAAGATGAAGCGACATTGTCATGCGAACGCTAGTGATTTGATAGATCAAGAATTAGCCATCGGTTCCAGTATGTGGAACGAAGCCAGTATGGTGTCTCAGCTCAACCCAGCTATGAAATATATCTGCAGGTGCTGCAAATGTTGTTACACTGATTTTCGCGAGGTTTGCCTTCAACAACCAAAAGACGCTTGTGACTTCAAAAAGATTCTACCGCATATATTTAAGATCAATAGTGAATATTTCAACGATAGCACGAAAGGTGATTCTTTGCGAAGGACTTTATTCAACTCCAGTATTAGGAACAAAGACCTTCTTAATTTGAGCTGCAACGAGTCGTCTTCATGCAGTAGTGCAATATGGAGTAATCGGTGTCTATATCCGGATATAGAAACCTATGCGCATCATCTTTTTAAGGAAGAGTACCTTAACAGCTGTAAAGAATCGGCAAAATCCGTAACTTCTGTTGCTGATCGCGTTGCATCCTCGATCTCATCTTCTTATTTACCAAAAACCTTTCCTATGACAATAGGAAGCGCGTGCTACAAGGCTTGCGATGGTAATAACGCAAAACGTGTTTTCTGGCCATTGTTATCAGAAAATTCTAAGAGTCTGTCTGTGCCGTCCTGCGCCACCTCCTTATCTTTTACCATTCCACCTTCTTCTGTTCCGTTTCCTCCTTTTTCTGCTAACTCCGCTCCTTCATCTTTGTCCCCTGTGTGCCTTTTCCGCCGAGAATCGTTCTTCACGTACGATCCTAAACCGCCATTATTTGATGGCCTAGGTTCTTATAGTCTACAAGCGAAACTAAAGCGAGATCCGTCTGAGAGCGACGAAAGCCCAAACAAACGTTTCAAATACTCTGAAGCAAAAATCAAATCTGAGCATTATCAGTCGGACGTGCCCTTCGTAAATTCAGTTACACCTACTCACGGCACAAAATACAATGGTGTAAGCACCGCAAAAACAACATCTACCTACAAAGTGCCAAACGAGTCAATTAATGAAAAACAAATTCAGAAGACTAAAAATTTCCATTGTCCCTTTTGCAATATTTCCTGCAGTAACCGAGGTCAATTACAAGGACATGTCCGCATTCACACAGGTAAGTGAATGGAGATTATATTTCAAATTTGTTTTGAATTTTATTAAATTTCTTTTCTTCGTTCTTTTGATATTTGAAAAACAGGCGACAAAAATAGTTATTTATTTTTACATTTTAGATGTTTTTATTTTTTATAGGAATAACAAACATGGTTTATTTTGTAATTTCTTTATTTACATTATTCGGACTATTGTCCTCATCTTTGTCGCCATATTTATCACAACGTTTCGGCCGTTGTACGCTCCGGCCTTCTTCAGGTGGTTGGAATGTCGAACTGAACCCTTTATTTCGCTCACTGGGGTAGACTGTTTTAGTTCCACGTGCCATGTTTAATGGAAGTCAGTTATCAGTTACCTCCTGCTAATTTCCCTCTGAAAGTTCTCCACTGCCTTAACCGGGTCTTTGGGTCCTGTCACTGGATCTAACCAACACCTTTATCCACTGTGCCATGTGTCCCTGAGGACATCTGGGTATGAATTTCTGGGTATTATAAACCTAATGTCTTCAGCAACCATTTTTACCAGTGCTCATATTGCAATTTTGCTGTTATCATTGCATGTTTTATAGAGATATAGACAGACTCTGTAATTTCTTTGTTAAAAATATTCATAACTGTTGAATCCGATAATTTAAAAGTCAGTTCTTTATTAATGAAAATTATATTCTCTTGGATTTAATATAGCTACATATTTCTTATTACTACTCATAACTTTGGAACTCTTAATAAAGAAAATGTAGATGTAATTTGCAATGTTTTTTTAAATAAAAGCAAAAGGGTAAAAAAGCATAAAAACAAAAACACGAACAAACAAAAAAACAAGATGTGTACTCAAACTATTTGCTAAAATGTAACGTTTAACGTAATAAAGAATAATAACGGATTAAAAATAAAATCTATTAATTACTTGGAAATCTTCAAAATTTTAAATGCAATGTCATCTTCTGGGGTCTTGAACACCGTTCATTTCTTATCCTTTCCTCATTCTCCCTATACACATTTTTTCTCTCACGTTCATTCAATGTAACCTCCTGCGAATCAGTGTTACTCCCCTCTTGCTTGGGGTGAAATGTTTTAAAAAATATAACGACATATTCATATAACGACATTGCTTATAATTTAGAATACAAATCTTATAATGGACAGGTATTGTAATGATTAGCGGTTCGATACCAGAAATCGGGGACATATGTGCTACGGTAGGTCTACAAATGGTTTTGAAATTGAAGATGTTATTCTCTAAGAATAGTTGTCAACGTTAGCCAGAGAGTCCAGTATGCTCTGCTATTTAACCAATGCCTGAAATATAGGTGGTCTCATAATTACCCAAGGGTGTTCGTGCGAAAGTCAATGTAACGGAATTCAAACTCTTCTCTTCGTATACAGCGATTGACAGGATTATGGGATTCATTATGGAATTCATGATTACTTGCGATGTGGTGTGGTGGATTTTATGATCCTGACTGAGTCTTATGAGACAAACATCCCAATGAATTAATATAAAGGTAGATATAGGCCCGATTTATACTAGTCAAAAAGGTAAACATAGCCTTGTATTTTCACTAGATTCAAAAAGATCGATACCGGTTCGGTTTATATTAGAGTCTGCAAGTATTCTCGAAAGGGTGCCAAATTTTGAGTCTGTCTTACCCATCAGCAGGGGATGTGGTCGGCGTGGAACCAGACAGGTAGAAAGAGAGGGATTGTGGATTATTTAAAGCCGAAGCATATTACGGAGTGTATGAGATAGTTTTGTAGTATCCGGTGTTCCCAAGTTGTCTCCCATCTACGTACTGACCGGGGTTGACACCTCTTTGGGGATCGAAGGAGAACGGATGTTTTCAGCGGGGTTAGAATGGAAGAAGAAGGACGAGAGAAAGACGAAGAGAGAAAAATGTCATAAATACGCTTTGTTCTTGAGCATGCCTGCACAAAATAATGTCCGCTGTCTGCATGTGGCCCGAGAGTCTTTCCATTTGTTGTCTCGAGACTATTCAGTGTCTCCCGTGAGACTTATTGAAAGGGAGATCTGAAGCATTTCTTGATATGGGCATTACTTAAATAGACTATGTAAAAAACGTAAAATCATTTTGAGAATAATTTTTGTAGATTAGCTTTCACGTGACCTTCTTCAAGAGACGACATTTTTGAGAATCGAAGAACATCGTTTTAACGGTTTAGAAGCGTGGCTCCTGTTCACAAATCGATCCTTCACTTTTACAATGTTATCTGAACTTTGTTAATTATATGTCAAATTTGGAACTGTACTTAAGTCATTGATATCTGCGTATTTGTATTTTCTGAATAAAAGAAAATTAAAACATTTTTTAATCATTTTAATCCAAGCAAGGCAATAAAGCCACTCAGACACAAGGGGTTACTGGGTGTTAGAGAATATGAGAAAAAAAAAACACTGTTGAGTAGAGAGAACATTTAAAGAACAAGAATTAAGTAGATAACGATTGACATTGCATTTAAATTTTTGAAGATCAAAGTTAACTAGGAAGTCAGAAGCCAGAAGAGAGATCCACAAGCAAGAAATGCTGTAGAAGACATTGTTAACATAGACTTTACACGTACATCTCGCAGCCATTTCAACTGTAAAATAATAAGACCTTGCTGCCAATCTCGCACTGCGCTTAAATTCATAAAATCTAGGCGAAAAAAAGGAAAAGTTCATGAGAACAATTATCATGAAAGTGTTTACAGAAAAGGAACATGAAAGCTACATTATAGCGGTGAGGTATTTTTCGGGAGCTCATGCGTAAAAAATGGAAGATAATTATTTACGCTAAATGAAGAATAAATGGGTATATTCATTTATTAATTTATATCAATTTTTGTTCTTTAATTTAGAATATATATATCCGTTTGTTCTTTATTTAAAAGAAATACTTTTTTAAAACAATGTCTGTTTTCGTACGTAGAACAGTTAAGTCCAGATAAATCTGCAAAATTTAGACATCGAATTTACACTGTATGGAAATAATTGACAAAACCTTACGCCTAAATTGATTAAAAAAAATCAATATCTTTCGATTCTGAAATATGTCACACCTTGAAGAAGTCGTTAAATTATCCATATGGAGTTGATATGCCGTTAAATAAACACATCAATCAGTCGAAGATATAAGAAATGCTAATCTGCAAAAAGGATTCCCCGAATAAAATCTTCATAATTTTTACGAGGGAATCAGTCTACTTAGGTAATTTCCATGATATGTACGTTTATTGTAAGAATGGCAATAGGAAATTTGTATAAGGAATAAAAAAATAACCCTTTATCGAATGGAGGAAGATGAAAATGCGATCTTTTTTTTTTGGCATATGGCTTGTGTACGAAATATACGCCATTTTAGACTAAAAATTGGTACGTCAAACGTATTTGAAATTTGTCGTCTTTACACTGAATACACGCAAACACACACATACACGTGCGCGCACTCAGCTTTTATCGATGATAAACAAAGTCTTCTGAATTCATTTTCTTACATTGGATACTTTATAGGCAAATTTTTTCGAGTTTTTTGGGGAACGTCCTTAATGTTTACAATAAATTTGTTAGCCAAATGATGAGCCAACAATGCAAATTCTAAATTAGAGATACCAAAACGTACAAACATTTAAATATCTGGGTTTTTTTTTTAACTTACGACGAAAGGTTCGACACTGAAATCCGAAGATACATTGGGATAGCCAAAAATGCCTTCCAAAAGGTAAGCAGAGAATTAAGATACAGAAAAAATAGTTAAAAACAAAGAAAAGAGTACTGAACTATTACATATCTGTCCTCCTGTATGGCAGTGAATGATGGATAATCTCCTCAAAGATGAAGAAGGGACTTGAAGCAACAAAAATGTGGTTCTACAGAAGGATGCTGAGCTTACCATTGACTGAATATGTGAGCAATGACGAAGTTTTAGAAAAAATCGAAACAAAAAGGAAACTTATATTTAAAATCAGGAAGAGCCAGTTGAAATTTCTAGAGCGCATAATAAGGAAAGAGGGCTTGGATAATCTTGGATAATCTGACAGATTGAGAGCAAAAGGGACAGAGGAAAGCAACGCATAACATACGCAGTGAATTTGAGTAAATGGATGGCCGTGCATGGTTGAGAAGAAAGAAGAAAAACAAAATTTATTAAGAGCTACAAGGGACAGAAAGTTGTGGAGAGCCATGATTGCATATTTCCTGAAGGGACACATCACATAAAGAAGACTTAAATAGACTAATTAACATGTAAAAAACGTAAAATCATTTTGGGAATAATTTTTGTAGATTAGCTTTCATGTGATCTTCAAGAAACGACATTTTTGAGAATCGAAGAACATCGTTTTAACGGTTTAGATGCGTGGGTCCTGTTCACAAATCGATCCTTAATTTTTACAATGTTATCTGAACTTTGTTAATTATATGTCAAATTTGGAACTGTACTTAAGTCATTGATATTTGCGTATTTATATTTTCTGAATAAAAGAAAATTAAAACATTTTTTAATCATTTCATTCCAAGCAAGGCAATAAAGCCATTCAGATACAAGGGATTACTGGGTGTTAGAGAATATGAGAAAACAAAAAAAAAAACACTGTTGAGTAGAGAGAACATTTAAAGAACAAGAATTAAGTAGATAACGATTGACATTGCATTTAAATTTTTGAAGATCAAAGTTAATTAGGAAGT